TTCCCCTAGTGATACATGTAGTTTCGCCCCTGGTTTAGTTGGTTTGGCTATGGCAAATGCTCGGTTGTGTGTGACCGCTTTGGTCATAGATTGTCTTGAGTTGGTGCTTGTTGCGGTTGTTATCTAGCCCACCCCGAGTGGTGCTCCCATTCCCCGGCTTGTACTTTATACTTTGTACCCATTTTCGTTTTTATGAGATTATCTATCGTTTTATAATATAAAAAAAAAAAAAAAAAAATCTATAGGACACGATTAACGATATCACGCAAAAGGAACATCTTTTTATTCAAACTAAACAGTAAAATCCACTTGGGTTAATATAAAATTGTTCTATCCTACATAGGATTTTAAACATGCTCTTACAATAAAGATAATCACACCCACATTCATGATAAAAATCCGCCCGACGATGGATTGAGACTCGGGATGCTCCTGGGTCCTGTCCAATCATTCCGTGCTAACAAACGAGTGATTATCGCGTTATAAATCCCTTCGTCCCTTTCTATCTTGCATAGCAAACACGCCCTAAACAGATACATTTTTATACTGTGTCTAATAGGTATAACCCGACTCCAGACAGTGTAGACATTTTCAAACATTGGCTCCAAAGTTGGTACAACTATGTAGCCAACAATGCAATACGAGTCTCAATTACCATAATATCTCAAGGTAAAAAACCTCTGTTTACCCGAGCTTGTGCAGAAGCAGGTGAGCGCCGTGCTGCGGTTGTGTGGTTATGACCATGGAGGGAGCATGAGTATAAGATGCAGCAAGCTCGAACGAAAACCTCTGTAGGATGAGAGCAAGTGCCATTTTGGCCTCGAGCATAGCAAACGCTTGGCCGACACATATCCGTGGGCCCCACCCAAAAGGGAAGTATATGCCGTGGTGTGCCTTAGACACGCCTTCGCTAAACCTCTCTGGCTTGAACTCCGCAGCATCGTCCCCCCATATTTCACGGTCGTGATGCAAAATGATAGTCGGCAACGTGAGCTGAACCCCGGCCGGCAGCGTCAGTTTTCCCAACTCGGTTTCCTCCCTCACGTATCGACCGAGGGTGACCGCCGGAGGGTATAGCCTCAGCACCTCATACAAAATCATGGTCACCTGAGATGATTAAAATATATACACATTATGTGAGACTCATTATATCATGAATTGAATTACAAAACTGGTAAATTACGATTTTGAGGTGATTCAGCCCGTTGTAGTCTGGCGTTTGATCTCCGAAGGCTTGAAGAACCTCTTCTCTAGCTTTTGTTTGCCAGTTTGGGTATCTACTCAATAAAACCATTGTCCACACAAGAAGCACAGAAGTGGTCTCTTGACCCGCAAAATAGAACAACTTGCACTCTTCCACTATTTCATCTATGCTCATCCCGAAACTCTTATCACCATGTTGCTTCATTTCTTCGAAATTGGACTCCAACAATATGTCGAGCAAGTCCTCGTTGCGTGCTTCCCCTGCTTTCAACGCCTCCACCCTTCTGTTAATGAGACCCCGAATTAAGCATTGAACTTCCTTTTCGATCTCTTTCATTCTCTGGTTCCTTTTGGTCGGCACGAACCTGCACGCGGTTAAAACACACACAAACACATTAGACAAGGTGACCTTAAGTACTTGATTCAATAACCACATGACCAGATGCATTTTGTTATTACCTCCAACCAGGAATATATATCGACCTTGAAGCCTTGATGACATGTTCCGCCTGTTCCCGCTGGAGTTCGAATATTCTCCTACCTTCTTCGTAGCTGCTCCCGAATGCAGTTCTTGAAATTGCATCGGCCGTTAAGTTCTGTAGACAAGGCCAAACGTCCACTTCGCACGACCCGACTGCCTCAAGACTCTTTTCCCATTTTCGCAAAACTTCTTCGCAACTCAAATGGAAGGCCGATACCATAAGCTGTAAATTAAGCACCGTATTTCGAAGAGAGAATGATAGAGTGAGTGTAAAAAACCTTCACCAAATGACTACAATGAAAAAAAAATGATGCAATGTGATGTAAGGAAGCGTACGAGTGGGATGATATTAATGAGATCGCAATCTCAAGAACATCTAAACACAATATCAAATCGCATTTTCCCACTCGTACGCTTTCTCTACATCACAATGTAAACCAAATACCTTCAGTTTCTCAAGATGAAAAGCAGGGTTGATTAATTTTCTGTGCTTGGCCCATTTATCGGTTTCGTAGCTAACGATTCCTTGTACAAGAAGCTTCTCAAGTGGATTCGAGCTCATGGGCTTCTGGTAGACATAATTTTTGGTTAAAATCTCTTTAACAAGCTCCGGGTCTGTGACGATTATGGAAGGTCTTGGTCCAAACCAGAAGAAGGACATGTTTCCTGTAAACCCATGGCCCCAAATGTCATCAGTTTTCATGGTAATAACTTTTTTAAACATGATAAGACATGAAAGAAGTCTGCTACAACCTGACATACCATAGTTTTGAACAGTTTTGAGAACAAACCCGAAGACCCTTGGCTTGATATCATCGTCAAGGTTGATGGGCTTGGACATGGCTTGCTCCACCGTCTTCATTAGCTCTTTTAAGTCCCCATAGATCAATTTATAAGAATTTCCCACGAGACCCTGTTTTCTCAGGAGTTTTTCGAGCCTCTTCGGCGTCAGATAGGCCCAGCTCACTACTCTGCATGCGTAGATTAGCAGCACAAAGGTGAAAACAAGGATGAATATTTGTTGTAGAACCTGCATTTTTTCTCAACCTGTCTCATGAGTTATGAGCCTTAGAGTTTAGACTCCCATTATATGCACCTTTTTTCAATGGGTATATATATGTGGTCCACAATCTTTTTGTTCCACAAATTGATTATCTTTTACAGGGTGCTGCCGATATTTGGTGTTAAAAGGGATCCACCAAATTCTACCATATACAAGTTTTTCTTTTTTTTTTTTCATTTATTTTTTTTTTTTTCCGCAGGGAGATATTATTTCTAACTAGGGGTGCACACAATACAATTATCTGAGTTGAACCGGACGAAACCAAAAATTAGATTTGAACCAAAATCGAAACCGAATATTGGTTTCGATTTTCGGTTTGTAGTTTCTTAAAATTTTGGTTTTCGGTTTGGTTATGATATACGTGCTCGGTTCGCCAAACCGAACTGAAAACCAAAATTATTTGTATAAGTTATAAAAACCCAATATTACACCGTCCATAGTATGAGGTAAGCAAATAAAAATGAGCCCCACCAGGCACCCACATGCCTCACCCCACATTCCACTCTGCCACTCACCCATGCCCATTACATTTCTCTTTATCATCTTTGGTCTCCTTCCCAGAATCTAAACTCATACTGAACTGACCCAGGCCCATTACATTTCATCTTCATCTTCATCTTTATCTTCAACCCGCCGCGCTCAGTGCTCGTCGATCGCGCTCCGTCACACACCCAAATCGGCAAAGCTCTATTCAGCACTCGACGACTCGTCCCCAAATCCCTCGTGCGGTCTGCTCCTCAGGCAACCCAAATCCCTCGTACGGGCTGCTCCTCGGGCTCAGGGTGGTGTTTTAATTGAACAAATTTGACAAAACCCTATTTTGATTGAACTGACTTGGTGAATTTCAATTGAGCCAATTCAAGCTCTCAGTTTTTAATCAATTGCTCTGTTTCTTCGTTTACCTGGTCATTGTTATATATATATATATATATATATTTTTTTTTTTTATTGACATGTCTTTGATCTGAGTTGCACACTTGTGGGTTCCAACTTGTCGACATCTTGCTTCAGTAGGGCTTTTCAGATTCAGTGAGGATTTTGGTATTTCACTTAGAAAAATTTTGGTTTCAAATATTTTGAATATGTTTGGTTAACTGATAATATAACCGATCTGACCGATTGTTATTCGGTTAGAAACCAAACCAAACCATACATTTCGATTCGGTTTTCAGTTTTAATAATGGATGGACCGAATTTTTAGTTAACCATAAACTCGATTGGTTCGGTGCGATTTCGACCGAATGTGCACCCTAATTTCAACCAATAAGATGAACAACTGGATAATTAATCGACCCTCTAGTTCTCCTTTCTGAGAGTATCGCGTTCTACCTTTGAAGACGGTTTCCCCTTGTGAGATTGGTTCTCCCTCCCGTTGATTTGTCTTTGTGTTTGCTATTATTTTTGCTTTTATTTAATTATCTTCTATGTTTTTCTGGTTAGGTAGTTTTCTTGTGTTCTAGGTTCGAGTGGGCTCTGGTTTGCAATCTAGGCTTAGTTGGCCTTGGTCAATCTTGTTTGCATTCTCTTTCTTTATGTTACGGTTGTTCTATACTCTTTGTTGTTCCTATTATGGGTGGTCTCCCTGTGTAGTTTCTGTTTTTTGGTAGCTAGATGGAATAAGATCTATCAGATCAATTGGTAGGGTTCAAATTATCAAAAAAAAAAAAAAAGAACATGGGGTTGAATTATCTGAGGAAGATATCACGATGGGATGGAACGAATGTCAACCAAGCTTACTTGGGAAAATATTAGGAGATAAGAAAGTCAATTTCAGTGGACTGCGTGCAACATTAATAGGGATTTGGCATATGAAGAAACCCTTCTCCATTCGAAGACAGGGACAAGATCTTCAACGACAAGACATGGTCTATTGACGGATAGTTCATCTTATTGAAGCATTGAAGGCCTGGTAAAGTGGGATTCACTTAGGAAGATTAAGGAATAAAAATTTGGGTTCAAATCCAGAATCTCCCTCTTCACTTGTTAACTGTTGAAACTGGAATGAAGATTGTGAAAATCCTGGGCAAGGTGCTGGATGTGCAAATACCGAGTGCTGGAAGTACAAGGGGACAAATGATAAAAGTCTTAGAGGAATTAAAACTGAAGGATCTTATTCTGTGAGGCACTACAATCAAACTAGGAAGTTGTAGTACTTGGGTGGATTTCAGGTATGAGAACCTCCAAACTTCTTTTTTATTCTTTTCCTTTTTACTGTGGTATAGTTGGGCATTCTAATAAAAGATGCATGACTAAACAATAAGTGTTAAAAGAAACTCGATTAGCTTGGGTCAATATGGAGATTGGTTAAGAGTAGGCAGTTCTGAGTTTGGAGACTTAAGGAGTCATAGTAATAATCAGTTTGGGAGTCATTCTAATGAACAGAGTCCTTCTTCTTCTCATATTCCCCATCTAGCAACTCAAGGTGTTAGTGAAAAGGAACAAGATAGTGGGGGTACTATTCTTGGTAGTATTAATGCTAACTTAATCAGTGGGGGAAAAGTTAGGGGAGAGAGTGAAAGTGGGACTAAAGAATTAATAGCTTTTGATCAAATGGTTCACACTGATATTGTGCACCAGGATGTTAACCAAGAGCTTAACAATGCTCACCTTGTGGAGGTTGACATTGCCCTTAACTCTATTGGAGAAAAAATTGTTGTTAGGAAGAAAACTTTTATTGTCAGAAAGACAAAGGGTGGGAAGCTGGTGAATTGTAATGTAATGTGTGTAAGACTCAGGGCTAGACTAGAAAAATGTAAGAGGGTTAAAGACGGCAGTGCCAGGAAAAGATCTGTTTCTGAGTTAGGAAAGAGTATTGAAAATATTGTTGAGGAATCTGGTAGGAAGTAAATAAGAAAATCTGTAAACACAAATGCTTTAGAGGTGGAGGAAACCAGCCCTAACTGGTCCCATTTTTTCCAATGAAAGCCATGGATTGTAGAGATATAGGAGGACCCTCTACAATTTCCCAAATCAAAGAGGCTCTTAGGAACCACCTCCCTGATCTTGCCTTTCTTTATGAAACTAAAAAAAATGTTTCTTCGGTTTGTATGAAGCTTAGGTTCGGAGATAGATGGTTTTATGGGAGTCCCTCTGGCTCTAGAGGAGGGATTTACTGTGTTGGTCTGACCAAGTTAGTGTGCTTGAAATTGTTAATCCCATGCTTTGTTTAGTGGCTAAATTCAACTGGTATAATAATTCTGAAAACATTTGGGTTGCCTTTATTTATGCTAGCTGCAATCCAATTGAGTGGGCCAATCAGTGGAGCATTCTGTTGAGACAGAGCCATTTTTAGGGGGATCTGTGGTTCTCGGGTGGGGACTAGAATGATATCTTCAGTAATCGGGATATGGGGGGAGTGAACTAGAGCTGCAACAAGTTTTTCTCATTTTAGGAACATTGTGTTTGGGATAGGAGGGGTGGAGCCCAAATTTCGATCTAAGAACCCAAATTGACCATTCAATATAATTTGTATCATTGAGAGAGACCGTAGAATTTATGCATCCAGGATTATCACTATGAGTGATATCATAAGGAGATATTATTCTATAAGAAGAGGGAGCCATGTTTGAAGACATGACTGAAGAAAAAAAAATAATCAAATCTCCAGCGGTGAAAACCACAGCTCTGGTACCATGCTAAAACTAAGAGAGAAAGCATAGAGTAGAAGAGAAAAATGTGTATTTTTCATTGTTTGTAATAGTGAGATTACATCCAATATATAGAGGTTACAAGAGATTAAAAAAAAAAAAAAAAAAA